ATACAGCAACTAGAAGGATGTGCAACTATGACGTACAACTATCTACTGGGGCTTTGGGGGAAAAATAAATAAATAAATAAAATTAAAAAAAAAAAAACTGCCAAGGCCCAGGACCCATCCTTAGATGTCCATTAATAGAATACTGGCTATTTATGCTACCATAAAAAAGAATATGTGAAAGATAAAGAATTATATCCAAGATAAATACTTAGTATATATATAAAAAAAAAAGCAAGGCATGGAACAAAGTAACTGCTAGAATGCGATCTAGTAATTATGTTAAAAAAGAGAGAGTAAAAATAATATTCTCATATATTTGCTTGTATATGTATAAAGTATCTGTGAGAGGATATTGAAAAATAGCACTGGTGCCTCCAGGGTGGAAACTAGGCAGCCAAAGGAAAGCAATGAAGCGGGGGGCACTTTTCACTTTATAAATATTAAATATGTTTATACTAGAAAAGAAGGTTCTGAAGTGAATAATCTAAGCTTCCAACTTAAGACACTAGAAAAAGAACAGCAAATTAAACCCAAAACAAGCAAAAGGAAAAAATATGAGTAAGAGCAGAAATCAATGAAATTGCAAACAGAAAAACAATACAGAAAATTAATGAAACCAAAAGCTGGTTCTTCAAATAAACCAATAATACTGATAAATCCCTAGTCAAACTGACTAAGAAAAAAAGAGAGAAGGTACAAATTACCAATATCAAGAATGAAAGAAAGGATATCACCATAGGTTCTACAGACCTTACAGAAATAACAAGAAAATATTATTAAAAACTTTATATCCATAAATTTGACAACGTGGATGACCTGAAGAGACACTACTCCTTGAAAAACACAGACTATTAGAGCTCACTCAGGAAGAAACGGACAACTGAATAGGCCCATTTCTATTATAGAAATTGAATCTGTGTTTTAAGCCTTTCAAATAAGAAAACTTCTCATTCAGAGAGCTATACTGGTGAATTCTAAACATTTAAAGAAGAAATATTTGCATTTCTACACTAACTCTTCCAGGGAATAAAAAAAGAGAGAATATTTTCCAATTCTTTTACGAGGCCAGCTTTATTTTAATACAAAAAACATAAAAATACATTACAGCAAAAGAAAACAAGTCAGTCAGTATCCCTCATGACCACAGACACAAAAAATCTTCAACAAAATGTGAGCAAATCACACATAGCAATACATAAAAAGGATAAAAATCACAACCCAGTGGGCTTTATCCCAGGAATGAACACTGGTTTGACATTTGAAAATTAATCAATATAATTCACCATATTAACAGACTAAAAGAGAAAAGCCACATGATCATCCAAATAGATGCAGATGACAAAATTCAACATCCATTCCTGATAAATACTTTCAGAAAACTAGGAAACGAAGGGAACTTCCTCAATCTGATAATGGGCATCTTAAAAGCAATAATAATTACAACAGCTAACATCATACTTGATGAAAGACTGCTCTCGCCTAAGA